ATGGGTAAATGTGTCCCCACCAGTTGTTCTTGTTACAAGGGCAGAAGCAGACTGAGCATATATATTCGTTATTATTATACTAACACCACCAATCAGGAACATAAAAAACAGTCTCTGAGAAAACCTTCTGTATGGCTGCGCTATAAAGCATAATATGCTTTTTTTTAAATGTAGTAATCGAGCAAAGTGAGCATTTAGTCCAGCACTTGAACCACCAGGGGGAGCTTCCAAACCATCCCATCTCACACTGCCTCCCTTTACATGTGTTGTGCTGGTAAAGAAGCACAGTATATTGCAATAAGCATTTATAACCGCTACAATGCGCACAGCTACATCATGTTTTCATGGGTTAGCCGAAACAAGGGACTTTGAAAAACAAAGTAAAAAAGCACACCAGCAACAAATCAAAAACATCATTAAAAAAATAGATCAAGCAGATGGGAGATAAACCTGGATACAAGGTTTAATCTCTATCTTTTGGATTGCACTTCATAGGAAGGATTCTAAAATATTATCTCCAACACTGCAATGACTACCCAGCTTCAAATCCCTTATCACCTGTTTAACAGTGCTGCCACTTCTTCAGTTGTCCCGGCACAATCTTTGTTGCCAAAAAAAAAAAAGCTGATGTAAAGAAAACATTTGTTGGCCCTGAGCTTCAATACTAAGGCAAACACAAACCGTTCTGTGTTTCAAGCATAGACTGATCTGTTGCGGCTCCTTTCAAGGATCTATATATACAAAACCTCTGGCTGGCATGTTTTTATACCTGTACACTGAAAATATCAGACACTGGACTGGTATAGTGCAGGATACTTATAGGAAACTGCAGTCTTCTTACTCCCCCCCCCCATATTTGTATGAATATAATAAGCCAAGAGGCTCAACTTGACCTAAATTGGAGCAAGAGCAAATATAAGCCAGGGACCCTGAGCTTCAGTACTGTAGTCCCGGGTTCAAACTGAACTTCCCCAAAATCTATGGCTCCCCCAGTTGGGGGCAGTGTATAGTGCAGGATACTTATAGGAAACTGCAGTCTTCTTACTCCCCCCCCCAATATTTGTATGAATATAATAAGCCAAGAGGCTCAACTTGACCTAAATTGGAGCAAGAGCAAATATAAGCCAGGGACCCTGAGCTTCAGTACTGTAGTCCCGGGTTCAAACTGAACTTCCCCAAAATCTATGGCTCCCCCAGTTGGGGGCAGCAAACAGGCAAACCTTTGTGTCCACTGCTCCTAATGAGTTCCACTATGGTATCTGCTTAGTGCCTCCTTCAACACCTATCTCCTCTGCTATGTCTTAGAGCTGCATTAGTGGCTTGCTGTGCAGCAGTCTAGCTTTGAGTATAATATCATCTATATCCGTGCACTTGTATTTATCCCAGTCCATCAATGGAAAGTGTATCGTGCTCCCCAGCGCCTGACTGGTCGTTGCAATCACTCACAACAATCCTCCAACTGTAGTCACATCTCCCGGTCACTCTGCAGTGCCCAGGGGGAGGTACCACTATGAATATTAATGATGCTCGTGGAGGAGCGAAGCAAAGTTTTTCCACTCCCTACACTGTACACAGAAGTCTGGCAGCCATTTAAAAAAAAAAAACCACATGTGGAGCCTGAGAGGACAACTAAAAAAAAGTAAGTTTTTGTGTTTTTATCCAGGATCTGCATATGCCGGCATCATCTACACACCGTGTACATTGCTGGGATATGTTTTTTTTTTAAATGCCCCCACATAGGTGGAAATGTCCTTTAAGTTAGGATGTAAAACATGGAAAGCCGATGATTCTGCAATAGCAATCCCGTTATGTACTAACCCAGCTAAACTCTTAATTCATCATAATTTATTATCATCAGTATGTATATATGTTAGCAATTGACTATTCTTGATCCTGTTTTACCATCACTAATATACCTTGTTTGCAGAGTGTGTGTGGGCGAAGGGCGCATTTTAAACAGCTCTTTGAGCTTTCTAAGATTGGATAACCGAAGTTACAACTTCAAAGTAAGTGCACAGTCAGTATTCACACATGTTATTAAAGTAACAAGGAAATATAGAAAAGAGAAAGAAAAATACATGCCCTTTAGTTTGAAATGTCAAAAGCAGAATTCTTTCACTTTTCTCGACTGCCACTGCTTTTCAGTTTAACAAGGTGTTAATTAAATTATGCCCTTTGCAATATGACAAGGCCGAGCATACAGCGACCGTTATTTTGGTTAAGGCTGTAACCCAAAGTTGTTGGCCTTTTACTCTCAAACATGGCCTGAGAAACTGGCTTTTTAATCAACATGTTAAAGCGTCTACACTGTCACTTTGGAATGCGTTCAATATTTGCATAAGGACATCAAAACGTGGGTAACAATGACAGCAAATGTAACCAATCTTAACTTCTGTTTATGTTAAAGGAGAACTATGGGGTTAAGGCTTTTCCCCATAGTTCTCCTTAGGGTAACGGGAGGACACAAACTAGCGTCCTCCCGTCACCCTAGGCTCAGTATATCGTGAGCTGTAGCTCGCGGTATACTGAGACGCCGCAGTATGCCACGAGCTGCTGCTCGCGGTATACTGAGACGCCGCAGCTGAAGCGGATCCCGACTATCTAGAGGCAGAGCCAGCTGTACCTGCCCCCTCCCCGTCCGTTCCGCCAGTCAGCGCTGGTGGATCGGAGCTGGGAGGGGGGAATCCAGCCCCTCCCATGTCACGGCAGAGAGCCGTGACAGGATAGAGAAGTGAGCGAGCGCCGGTATGTGTTCGCTCACCTCCCGATCTACTAAGCCGACCTGTGACAGTCTCATGGTCGGCTAGAACTATGAGGTGAGTGAAAAGCACTCACCTCATAGTACTCCTTTAAATACTGTATTAAGATATTCTCCTCCTGTAACTGGCTGGGGACCATTACAGAGAGTAAAACATATACAGGATGCCACTAAACTCCAGGCAGCAAGTGAAAAGCATTCTATCCAGCAAATGCAGCAATGGTAAGTCAGAAGGGCCTGTCAGTTCACCCCATTTGTGCCCAGACTATGGTCATTAAAAACTATACATCTCTAACAAATATTAAACAAGTCTTAGGCTTGCTAGCATCTAGGTAGGTGTGAGAAGAGCCTTCCAAAATGTAGATAGGACGAGAGTACATGGCCTTCTGCCTGGGGCGGGTCTCAGTAATCACGCAATTGCAGCCCATGATAACACATATCATTGATTTTGAAACAAGGTACCTGAACTATTCTCCATGATGACACACATATACTGTATGTGAACCAGACTCATTGAAAACAACGGGATGCCAACTAACATGTTTCGAGGCAATCTTAACATCACAACATGGGAGTCATGGCATTAGGCTGGGTTAACACTGCTGCAGTACCTATTTTAACTGTTGGTTATAATTCATTAGAACTAGAGGTGCACCAAAATGAAAATTTCAAAACCGAAACAAAACCAACATAAAAAAAATTGTCAGGCCGAAACCGAAAATGTTTTGTTTTTTCTCCGCACGTTTTCAATTTTTTTTTAAAATATATTATTTTTATTTATTTTTCTAAAACTTTTAATTTTTTTACATTTTATTTTTATTAAATATTTGTATTATTTTACTTTACTTTTAGGCTTCAGGGGAAATATTGGGGGTCTAAACAGACCCCTGATATTTCCCTTTTAAAAAAGAAAAATAGATTGAGGACACAGAGTCCTCAATCTCTTTCTGCAGCCCCTGTTATAAATGAACAGGAAGCCTCTATACTGAGTGTCCCTGTTCATTCATAACTTGTGGAGATAGTATGTTTTTCCACAATCATGAATGAATAGGAAGTGATGTAGATCACTTCCCATTCATTCATTATTGAGGACAGAGTAAACATACTATTTCCTCAATCATTTATAAACAATCAGCGATCACTGATCACTTGTACCTGCTCTCCATCCTGACACACTGTCACAGGAGACTGAGCGAGTGGGGCAGGGAGGAGATCTCGATCCCCTCTGACAGCTGACTCCTCTCCTGCACTGCCGGCCCGGCCTCCTGTTACAGCTGACAGCTGCTCTGTCACTGGAGGCTGGGCGGGGCGGTCTTGGAGGAGAGCTCAGCCGCCTGTGACAGCACTGCAAGCTGTTACCACCCCCCACCGCTGCTCTCCTGATGTGTCACAGAAGGCTGAGCGGTGTGGGGAGGAGAGATGCAGGCCACTCACAGCGCTCTCCTCCCACACTGCTCAGCCTCCTGTGACAGTTTCTCTCCTCCCTGCTGGGACAGCAGAGAAAGCAGGGATGCACCGCTATTTCAGGCAAATGGCAATTTCGCCATAAGTGTCCATTTTCGGCGAGTGAAATTTTGGTGCTTCCCTAATTAGAACGTATAAAGCAGGATTCGTTCTAGCAAGGTTTTCCATTTAAAGACCTTCTCCAATGCCGTGAAGTTACATCTCAGACCCTGGCTCTTGACTTCTTTTATATCATAGCACTGATTTGGCAACATGGATCCAACGACTTCAAACTGCTTCACAATGGCAGCGTTCTTACTATATCACAGGTAACACAGCTTCCCCCAGGTAGCTTGTTATTGCTCTGGCTCCTGTAATGTACAGCCATTGTTGTTTTGTAATATGGTGGGAGAGGTCAGGGCACTAGGGAGCCCTACCAACGTGTGTGCAGACTGGGCTGTTAAGACAAACCGCAGCCCTAGTCCTCCCCCCTCCCATTAATCCTTTATTAGTCTCTGGCTACCTCCATCAAGATGACATAACAATATGAATTCATTATAATATGGGAAAGTGTCTAATGCACTGCACTATATATCTAAATATCAGTTTATATTTTAACATTGCCGTGGCACTCTTTTGTGTATTTATTTTACTGGATGTGTTAAAGGTTCTTCAATACTCCGCATTACTAATTTAGAGGGTCTTTGAAACCTTGTTTTGCCCTTTTTTTTGTGTGTTCAGCAGGAGGTCAGCTGATTGATCTGTGCTGTATTCTGTGTCCTGCACAGTGATCACTCACCGCATTCTCAATGCTTCTTGCTGTCTCACCAAACAGCTCTGACTTGTAGTCTGACATCTCTTGGGTATAAAACACCTCCTGACCCTCCAGCTCCTCTATGATCAGGACACCTTCAAACGTTTTTGTTCCTGCAGAAAGAAAAGAGATAAGCATTTGATTTGGCTGGCAAAGTAGTGACTACACAATAAAGATAACCTCCCTAATGCTCATCCCTACTCCCCTATCAGGTGAGTGGTATTATGGGCAGTGCCAGGTGTGGGGTTAGTAGCATGGCACAGGGCTGAGCTATGAAGGGTTAGTAATTGAGTGTATGCTGCTTCATCCAGTGGCTGAAGTGGGCAATAGCATGGCACTTTACCAGGCAGGGGAATTTTCCGTAGCAGGCGGCTTAATACGAAACGTTTACTTGCTGGGCACAAAAAAAGACAAAGTAGGCAGTTACAGGGAGACAAGAAAAAGTTAGACAGTTACAAGTGAAAACATATGAATACAAAGCTAACTGGGTCCAGTATATCATTAATCTAATTCCCATTCCTTTCCATGATTATCCCACTGATAGCACACAGTAAGAAATAAAGGTCGTACTTAAAGGGTCAGTCCATCAAACATTGATAATTTAGTTGTGGTTATATGATGACAATTTGAGTCACCCATCACATTGATGTGGCTCTTGTGAAAGCTGGTAATGACATTTCTGAATGCTTGTTCTTAAGGGAATTTTAATCTTCCTGTCAGATTTTTTATTTACTGTAAATCAAATTGGAGAAGTGAGACTTTGTGGCACGAAGATGACAGAGTCAGAGACACTGTTGGGGGGAGCACACTGGAGCACCTGACAGATGCAGGAGCCTACTGGCTTTTTCAAGCCCCTTTAAATATTAGTATTTATTTACTAACCCTTTAAATGTAACATAATCTGTATATCAATCACTCCTGGAGCATTTTTCTCTGATCAAATAGAAAGGAGTGTACTAAGTCTAGAAGTAATGTTACTGTCTTTGTTGAAAAATGTTTAAAGCAAGGATAACAGAGTTGCTACTCATGGCAACCATCCCTTTTTGTATAACATTTCCTAATGAAGGACAAGATATTCAACCATGCATTGACTGGTTGCTATGGGCATCACATAAACCTTTCCACCAAACAGTTAATAAGTAAATCTAAGGTAGCAGTTGGATTTTGGAATAGACTACTGAAAATAAACGCCAGCCAAGTTTGCAGAAAAGATACACTACCGACTCAGGAGAACAGGCCCTGTGTATTCACAATGTGCTCTCTCATGAAAACATACACACATATATATTTATTGATCACATTGGTTTATTACTAAAATATTCTTCTGTGACAGTCATCACTTTGTGTCACAACTTAAAAAAACCTTTTCACTGATTCCTCCTTTCAAATATACAGTTCAGGGATCTTCAGTAGGATCTCCTGCTACAGAGTACTAGATGACACAGGGGGTTAAACGTGACATTTGAAGGTAAAGGGTGACATTTTATGGACAGGAAAACACTTACTTGGACAGTTTGTGCCTTCAGTATCGCTGGCTGGGGTCTTTCCATCTGAGCAACATCCTAGAGGCGTGTTGTAGCAGCTGGCTCTTTCCATAACAGGTGTGGCTTCAAAGTCTAGTGTCTCCTCATATTCTTTCTGCTGTTCATCTCCTCCATCAAACCTATCCGCTATGGCAGAAAATCACACAATGTAGCCATTGTTTTACATTTCCAGTTTGCTTGTAAGCCTCGTCGAATTACCCCCGCCCTCCCGACAAATAAAAAGTATTCTTATTGCGATAGTGACCTGTTAGAGGAATTAACTCTCACTTACTCCTGTCAACATTCTCACAGAGAGGGGCTATTTCACAAACGGACAGCAAACAACAAAAGAAACCTGGCAGGTGTTCCGAAACGATCCCTACTCTATCCAAAATTACAATTAAAACATTTTTGGCTAGAGATGCACGTTGTGAATTGATGAGAAACACGATGAGAGTTAATAGAGAACAAATCACAAATGGATTATTCTGCTTGACTGCAGAACATCCAGCATATGAAGCATGGCCAAATAGGATAGATACGGCCTCCCAAATGGGAGGTTTCATAGGTTGCATCGGCACTTTAAGAAATTTCGTTAACAGGACACAACAGCCCCAAACAAATAGTGGTGAATAAATGGAAAATATATGGAAAACTATTTTATCAAAATCAAGGCTGTGATGCAAGCTAAAGCTCATAATTCCCCATTCAACTACAGGCGTTTTTGCAATTAGATTCTTTCATTAGTATTCTTAGATCAATTAACCGTTCTGGGAAATAACAGAAATTCCAAATAACTGGCCTTGGCATGACAACATGGCATAGGGCAGAGGGTTGATGAATTCAGGATCCAAACCAAATCACATTGTCAGCGAAGTGATTTGGATGCTTATATTGAATCATATATTTTACATTAGTATTGTTGGTGTGCAATAAAGTTTATACTCTTCTAAACAAAGCAAACTGTGTCTCAAAACAATTAGCATCAAAATGGCACAAACATTTCCATACATTGTCCTCAGGGACCATTAGACCTACTTCCTGGTTCTGTTCCACTTAATTCCTGATCTCCACTTGCTTCTAGATCGTCATCACCGCTGCCACTTCCTGATTCATCATATATCCGCGTTGTAGCAGGCCTCATAGTAGGAACGGTAACACCTGGCCTTGCTGTTGATGTGCGGACTGCATATGTCTGAGTAACTGGCACGGCAGTGCTTGTGTAACGCTGTCGGGTCCTTTCAGTCTCCATAACTAATGGGAAAGAATCAGGTTTTTTTTTGGGAGTTTGAGTCTTTGGGTTTATTGGTGTAGGGAGTGATCGTCCGATCGGTGGGCCAGGGGTTCCAGTAGGAGGCAGTGTCTGAAGATTAGCTATCGTGATTGTTTCTAAAATGAAAGAAAAACCTCAAGTTAATGTCTTCAAATACCTATTAATTGTATCACAGCCTTTTTTTTTTTTGTATAAGTTTGTATTTACAGACATTTAGAAAAATGTATTGCAATGTAAAAATAATCAACATTATGTACATATAAGCTTGAGGTAAAGTGGTTTTCTTCTTGGGGTCTGAAAAACCTGCCATCTGGTGCACTGTCCTCTAAAAGGTGCATTGCTGCAATAACATTTTATTAGCATGGTCAGCCTTATGCATTTCACAAATTTTATTTACGTTTTTAATGTTAACAATAAAATGCAGATAAGAAAATATTCTGCAATTTTAAGAACGACAATAAAAGACATTAACAAATGATCTGCCTCGTTAAAGTTATCTGCCATTACCATTGGGTCAGATCACATGGAAGCTGCCTCAGGTTTTGTTAAAAAGACTCTTTGTAGAGGTTCTCTATGATTAAGCCCAGCCTTGCGGGTAAAACTTGTCAGAGGAGGAGGTCCCAGGAAGATAATTCTCTGTTTATGTTGTCTAGATGAGTAAAGTTACCACTGTTCAAACTTATTTTCAGGGTGCAGCTGGTCTTTTCCAGTGGCTTTGTCCAGCTTTATTTCTTTTGCTTATGAGGATGCTCAATATTTGCTCAGTAACTATTATTCCATAAGTGAAGATTTTACATATTCAAATTTAAATCTGAAATGTAAACCCCCAAATCTATATAAAACATCATCCGCTAATGCAGTTATGAATACATTAAAGAAACAACTTTTTAATGCAACCAGTGTAAATGCCTAAATCTGGCTCAGCGTCAGCCTTTTTGCAATCCATTGTACAGTAGAACCCTAGACTAGGGGTTAATTAGGCATGCTGCATGCACATGAGCTGAAAAGCAACCTGAAGACAAAAGTAAAGAGCAGAGAGAAGAGCTCATCAGTCTGCTGCTGCTGCTTCAATAAAAAACAATCAGGTAAAGTCATGGCTCTGTTTCCCGGCAATGTTGTCCTGTAAATCTCAGGATTAGCTGCATGGAAATAAAAATCCTTTGGGTGGTAAAATTTCAATAAGGGAACAAACTAGTTTATAAATACAATTCATCATCTGAAGATTTTACAGTGACGTGCATGCTGCTCAACTCATTAATGCAGTCTTTGGTGAATACTGATATCAAAGTGAGAAGTTGCTCTTAAAACTATAGATTGATTTCTTTGTCCTCCTCTGTAGATTGTGTAGACTATACTCTAAGCCGAGTACAAAGTGAAAGGATGTCAAGTTATATTCCGACCTGCACATACTAGACACTACAGGCTTTTCCATAAGAAGACAGCCACAGGTGTTTGGAGAGGAAAAAGCATTTCAATAACTTTGAGAGAAAGTTTTGTAAGTTAAAAAAGAAATAAAAGCTATAGCCGTATAACATTAATCGGAGTTGCAGTGGGAAGACTTTCCCGAATTTAGTTTAAAGTACCTTGACAGGGCCCAGTGTGCTTCACAGTGATGGTACGACCCTGCCTGCAAGCAATGGTTTTCAGCTGACACCAGTCTCCATAGGTCACTCCATCAGAGCCACAAACCTAAAATAAGAAAACAGAGTAAGATTTAAAGCTTTCATCAAGGAAAATGGAAAAAATTAATAAATTAGTACATCTACATATTTGCCCATGTTTTATCCATTTGAACATGCTGCAAGTACAGAAGTATCCCTATTGATGTATCCCTATTGATGATATAATGTGTTAATATTATTAACCTTTCTCCTCTTTGACATGATAACACCGCTCTAAATTCCATGGAACATGCTACTTCATTCCCACAAAGGACAAAGCCCTTTCCTCACCTCCCTCCCATCTCAATAGCCCCTCCTTGTGCACAGGCGGGGAGCACAGGAAGTTCTCAGCTCACAAGATTTCTGGCAAAATCAACAGGAAACAGATGTAAGAAATAACTTCCAATTGTAAATTTAGTTGACCAAATGGGAGCAAAAGAGAAGGCAATTATTAGAGTTTATATACACAAAGTATAACTAAAGACAATACATTTTTTTATTTTGGATAGAGTAGGTAATAGTTAATATCCCTATCAGTTTGTTTGCCATCTGCGATGCACTCCAGAGATTTCCCGTCACTTCCTCTCCTGTAAACCCAACTGGAAGTGAAAGAAATACTGTCTTAGACAATTGTCACTGAAGTCAGAACTCCTAGCCTACATACTCCTTCCATGTCAGTGACTAATCAATAATGATAACAGCTGGGCTAGCATGATAGCCAAGAAATTAGTATTTTCACAAAGGGAGGTCGGCAAACTCGATACTTCTCACTACAGATTTCCTTTAAAGTCCAGCATGTACTCAGATATTTCATTCACCATATAGGTATTTATAGCTTCTCAATAAACCAGCTCAGCCACTAAGTTTGAAGGGAAGACACGACTGCTGTTATACATCTTTGTGGTGACTGTCTGCAGAGCTGCGCCTGGTGCACTCACTCTGCAGCTCCAGTCAATCAGCAGTGACAATGACATATTCTTTTGGGGCACTACTGGATTATTTGGTACATCCTTGAAGTGAACCAGTGTCCAGGCTTTGGACAGTTAAGTGCTTACATGTTCTTAACAAGCTCTCCCTGATCTCTCAAGCTGCTTGTATTATGAAGCAATGTCATCCTCAAAGATGACAGGAGAGACTCTGAAGTCAGGTTTCTAACTGTTTATGAGCATGTGGTGTCTGTTGGCAATTGAAGCCTGGCAGGCTGCCGTAGACAATAAGGGAAAGGATCAAAGATTTTAGTGCTTTTGTTGTGAAATTTCTCCACAGTGCCTACATCTACAGAGGTTAGGCTAGGCCTGTTTTAAAGTGATTTTATTGCTTATTCAGAATATGTAAATACTTAGATATATCCGGGCACAAGTGCAATTTCTTTGCCTTCTTTGCCCTGGATTTCTATCTATGGACTAAGAAGGAAGAATCATTTCAGCTTACACCGATAAAAATTGAACGCTCCAGCACTGTAATACTGATATAAGAAGCTTTGGTGAATTTACAAAGAAATGATGCAATAGGTACAGCAGTCAACAAAGAAAATTTGGTGTAAATCGACTATGTCCAGAGTGAGAATGTCTGTCCAAAATGTATGTGATCTGTATTTAACTCCAGGATGAATGTGGGTCAGATGGTGTCTGCTGTGTGATGAATACAGTGTCAGATTTGCCCTCTGTGTTCTTAGAACATGTGGGCTTCTGTGTCTAGAATGTCATACAGAGATGCTGCAGGATTTTCAGGTTTCCAGAATGTAATAACCTCAATTTTTGTAGTTATTTACCTGTTTGCACTGAAACCCTGTGATTTGTTTTTTGCATGTATTCTAAAATGCAGAGCAGCCGGACAATCCTATAGCTGGTGCCTACATTGTCATTGGAAAAGTGTCTGCCACATTGCTGACTTTCTGTAAATGCTTTTTGCCAGGCTGTCACATTGAAGCTCTTGCATTCATATTTTATTTGTCTCTAATCAGAACAAGTATGCGTAATTTTGGCGTTACTTTCTTGAAGGTACAGAAGCCAGTGGGTCAACATAATAACCATGCCACTACTGTTTTCAGAAGAAAGTTAGCCATGGCAACCAGGAAAGGTTTTGTTTAAGGCCTCATTCACAAGAGAAACGGCCGGGACGTACAGCTCAGTGCTGCGTGCACGCAGGGCCGGCCTTAGGGGTGTGCGAGCAGTGCGGCCGCACAGGGCGCCATGGCAACAAGGGCGCCGTGCGGCCGACACAGCTCGTCCTGGGGGCGGCTTCTCTCCCCCTCACCGCTGGGCGTTGGCCATC